GTACAACATGAGCCTGAAGATCTGTAACCTTCAGGGAGTTACGGATGCCCTTTTCCGTGAGTTCCTCTCCCAGCCTGGGGAACGGCAATGGTGCAGCGAGATTCTCCGTTCCATCACCAAGGGTAATCAGTGTCTTGTTTGTCAAGACTTTTCTCTTGAGTTTTTGCTATTAGAAATTTAATGTTTAAAGTCTTAATACTATTTATCACTTTTGATTTAGTTGTTTAATGATTTGATTCCCTTTATATATATGTTTTTTTTTTGCTGTTTTTTTCTGTTTTCTTGTGAATAATTTATGCCATGGTGCTTACAGATTTATTCCAGGAAAATATTTACCATATTTAATGGCATATAAGACACTGTTTTTTCCAAACAGATGATTGAAAAAACATTCCTGAGATAGGGCCACTTTATTCTGAATATACCCTGCTGAAATGGAGGTGTCTTTTATGATGGGGGGTCTTTTTAAGTATTACCAGTCTATATGATATGATATCATAATAAATCTGGGGCACGATGAAAGCAGAGAGGGGATAATCTATGTGAAGCCCAGCATTTTAAGATTATAGATGACCATGAATTGTAACCAATTTTTCTGCTGTTCAGGGTCTTTATAGTTATTTATGATAGAACCACCTTTAGTGATATATAACAATCCTCCCTGACCTGGCCTCGAACCTAGGTCATTCCGGGTATGAGACTGAAGGGCCAGTACATATCAATGCGGCATTGCATTATTCCATCTTTCACCTTTAGTGATGTTTTGACTTCCATGCTTTAAACATCAGCATAGGCAAACAAACTCCTGTGAGATATGTCCTGGTATAATAGAGCTGGGACTTGTTCTTTATTTGATGGTATATCACCATGGTTCTACAAGCTCTGTTTTGCCAGAAAATATATGATGGAGATCATAGATATTGCCTAAGCATAAAGTATGGAGGCCAAGGTCCAAATTTAAATGTGGAATCACTGACTGTTACAATTTTTACCTTACCTTTGTTTTGTTCATAGTATTTTTTTTATATATTGGGAATGTTTTGTGTGTTCTTTATGAATATTACAATAGTTTTTCACTGTCCTGTGTGTGTGTAAATATTAAAGATAATTTCCTAAACCTATAACCCCTTATAAGATGTAAAGTTGAACCGTGAACCGTGGTCATTAGAGTGCATCTTGTGAAGTAAATTATCATATACCTTTTTAGCAGCTTTATATCAGACTGCTGTATGACCCTTCAGTACCTTAGCATCAAACTTGTATGTGCCTCTTTAATGGCTTAGCATTAAACTGCTTTAAACCTTTTTATTACAGTATTTTTTCACAGTATATCTGTGTACCTGGCAGTAATTGTTATTGTCAATATTTGTGTATGTAGTATTTTTTTTTCCTTTGCTGTGTTCACGAAAAGGTAGACTAATTTCCTGTAACACTGTCACATTGCATAATAAATAAAAACAAGCACTGATACAGTTTATTGGTTAATGCCCTGAAAAGAGTACTTTCACGGTGTGTGTAGGTATCTATTTATTTTTCAATATCTTTACATTAACAGCAGAACTCAACAACATATAGATTGATAGCCCTTGAAAAACAGTAAATACCTCTTGACTGACATTATACAGTAACACTAATCCAAAAGATATTGCATAGTAACTTTTTTCAACCAGGATTTTTTAATATGAATATTTTTAAATATGTTTTTAATGTAATATCTATATGGCACCATTTTTTGCTGCATATGCCTAACACTCAGCACTCATGGTTCAATGAAATTCATTGCATCCTCTCACAGCGGCCTTAGACCTTGCTCATTGCCCGTCCTGTAACCAGTTGGTTTGGCCAAGTATTATTAAAGTATTATTAGATGTCCTTCAATTTTTATGTTACAATTTAGCTTTTAAAAAAGGTAGAAGAATATAATTTTTTAGTTCCTTTTTTAAGTGTCAGACTAGAGGTTTGTCACCAATTATTTAGGAATAATTTTAATTAAAGTGATACTGGTGTACCTTTCTTCTGATTTGCGATATTACATGAATGTATTTTATCAAGAGATATCAAAATGTCTGATACCCTTCCAGAATTTTGCTTTTTACAATAATACATTCTTAAATGCGAGAATAACTACTACATTTTTTATTACCTTTTCAATTAATCTTAAACTTTTCAAAGATAGGCCATGTGAGAGGGATATTTTCAGGCACAGCAATATTTCATGTTCATCTCCCTTTTGGTTGGTAAGGTCATAATCGACTGGACAGATGATGGAATAATGCTTTTCCAAAAATGATTTAGTTCTGCTCTTTCTCTTTAGGTGAAGCCTAGATTGTGTATTTGACATGATATCAGAATATTGATATAAAAAAATCAAATCGGAGTATCTCTGTCGATGTTCACTTGAATTTGAATGGGTTGTATGTTTGATTTATCATATGATATATATTAATTACTCTGATGTTTTTATGTTAGTGGAATATAATGTCTGTCCTTGCTTTATATGTATTTAATTTTAGTTTCCAGTGTTATTCTATAATTTGTTACAAATTGAGAAACAATGTTGGATGTAATTCAAATCAGGGATGTATACTAGAAATGGCAATTTCTAAATGCAATTATGTAGCTTTTATCCCTTAACCAAAACTTGGCGTTCAGTATGGAAGTATTCTTTGAAAGTCATGAGGATTACTGTATATTCATATATAATACTATCATGTACATAATTTACTATTGTTTGGGGGGGGGGGGGTGAAATGTCTTTTGTTTGGGGTGAGGGTGGCATACAGCTGTAGGAATTTCAGTCATATATCAGTATTCTCGATCATGTATATCTTGTCTTATATACATAATTTTTTACCATTCACTGCAAATCAGTCTTATGTATGGCCAGATTTTTGGCTGAGTAATTATTTAATCAACAACATTCTTACCTGAGTCCTTGTTTATTGCTGTCACTATAAAGGAGTTGTTTATTAGTTATTCTAAGGGAGTCATTGTTTATTGATCTAGGATAAAAATTATAAAAAGTCTTTATTACCCATAGATATATTAGGCCTCTAATTTGCATTATTAATTTAATTGATCCCAGTAATATCTAACCCAGTAATTCCTGTAATTTAGTATGCAGGATGGTGATGCAAGAAAAAGTTACTAATAGTATGGTAGAATTTTCTATAAATTCTGTTCATTATATGAAGTGATGGTGATGTTTTTCCAATTGCATTTTTCCTTTGATAATATTTTGTATTTTGTATTGTTTCACGGAATCAAAAATACATTTATGAAAAATGGCTGTTGAGTATGACAAATTTTAGTTCCAACATTTTGCCCCAATCCTTCTAATTTTCTTTGATATTTACCAGCATTCACTTGATATATGGTGACAAGATGGCCTGGTGATAGATTTGCATTGGTGAATGATTGATCGTAATGGTGCTTTGCAATTTCTTTGTTGCTCAACATTTTCACTAGCCCGATATGCAGTCCTCAACAAACCCCATAATTAACCGAGTGTTGTCTGGTAGCGAGGAGTTGCTTGAAGTTATTTAAGATTTTATTCTTTGTGATGCATTTTTTGTTATGAAATCATTTGCATTAGATATTCCTATAAGGATAAACTAGTCTCAAAATTCTTGAATGAGATTGAGTGACATAGTCGTATGGAAATTTAATTTTTTATTTTCATTTTTGTATGATTCTTGTTGTCTTCGATTGGTTGATAGATTGTACTGTTTTTACTTTTCACTCTTTAATATTGGTATTGGCTGTCTACTAGTGCTACAGTGTTATAATTTTTTTCCACTTTTAAATCTCTTTCTGATTTATTATTGGCTCAAATGTTAAGTGATGTTTGATTTAATCTTTAGCTTGACCTTGATAGATTTACTTGGTAGTAATAGCTAAGAATTTTGCAATAGAGAAAAATTGGTTGAGGAGACAGGTCTAGATGTTTAGTTATTAACCCAATCCCGACGGCCATGACGTGTACGTATGTGCTATGCCCACTGTGAGTACTTGTTTGATTGGTTTTACACATAGATGTCTACACTTGTACTAAGTCACCAATGAGCCAATTATGAGTACTGTCTGTCCTGCTCGTTTACCCTTTTTTTTTTATTTAAGAAAATATTATACGTTATCTTATTTTGCTATTATTAATGTTTATAATATTATAGTAATTATAATGTTTATAATAAAAATAACACCATCGATATTCATAGCACTAGTAAAAAATATGTTTTTCCCGCCAATTCAAGAGAGGTGAAATCAGGTAAGGCTAAGCACTAGTAGAGCCATCTATGTGTACAGACATTTCACAAAAATATGAAAAATGAGCTCAGCATTTTCCCTGGCAGCATTGGGTTGATGGTGAATTTGAAGAATGTACCCTCAATAACTGTTTGGTAATTCCTTAGTAAGAATAAATGGATTTTTCGTACAGTGATCTGTTCTTATTTCTTGTTTATCATTAGTATAATTAGTGTTCATATGTTTAATTTATTATTTATTACTGTTATTATTATTATTATTGTTATTATTATTATTATTATTATTATTATTATTATTATTATTATTATTATTATTATAATCATCGTCATCATCATCGTCATCATGATTATGGTAGTTACTGTTATTGTTATTATAGTTATTATTATTATAATTTTTATTATCATAATTTTTATTATTATTATTATTATTATTATTATTATTGTTAATATTACTATTATTTTATTATTGTTTTTGTAATTATTTATATTATTGTTATTATTATTATCATTGTTATTATTATTGTTATTATTATTATTATTATTATTATTATTATTGTTATTATTATTATTATTGATGTTATTGTTATTGTTATTGTTATTATTATTATTATTATTATTATTGTTGTTATTATTAGTGTTATTGTTATTGTTATTCTAATATATCTTTTTTTTTTTTTTGTTCTGCAGGGGAGAGGGTGGAGACAAATGACTTTCTGAAGCTCTCCTCGGATACAC